TTGGTGTTGGGTCGTCGTTTTGAAGAAACGATGCCTCGCGTCTCCTCCTCCTCCTCCTCCTCCTCCTCCTCTTCCGACTCATCTCCTCCTCTTCTCCTCCTTTCTCCCGTCACCCCTTGGCTTTGGCACACGCCTCATGCTTTTCGTGGCACCATAAGGAGCTCCACCCAAGGCTTCAGAGGCTGCGTTCACATGCGGCCTTCTGTCACTTTGGCACGCTCCTCACACGCTTCGTGGCATCCGAAGGCTCCAGTGGCTGCGTTCACGTGCCGCCCCCGTTTCACTTTGGCTCACCACTCACACGTTTCGTGGCCCCATAGGGAGTTCAACCGAAGGTCCCGGCTGTGTTCACATGCCGCTTCCTGTCCACTTTGGCACACCCCTCACACGTTTCGTGGCCCCAAAGGGAGCTCCACCCAAGGCCTTAGTGGCTGCGTTCACATGCCGCCTCCTGTCCACTTTGGCCCACCCCTCAAACGTTTCGTGGCTCCATGTGGGAGCTCACCGAAGGCCCCAGTGCCTGCGTTCACATGCCGCCTCCTGTCCACTTGGGACACCCTTCGCACGTTTCGTGGCCACATAGGGAGCTCCCCCGAAGGCCCCGGTGTCTGCGTTCGCATGCTCCCCCCTCCACTTTGGCACACCCTTCACACTCTTCGTGGCCCCATAGAGAGCTGCACCGAAGGGCCCAGCAGCGGTGTTCGCATGCGTTCCCTCCACCCATATCGGCACTTCCCTCGTACGTTTCGTGGCTCCATTGGGAGCTCCACCGAAGGCCTCAGCGGCGGTGTTCGCATGCATCTCCCCCGCCCAGTACGACGCTTCGTGGCCCCATAGGGAGCTCCACCGAAGGCCCCACTGGCGGTGTTCGCGTGCCTATCTCCCGCTCAGTACAGCGCTTCGTGGTCTCCTAGGGAGCTCCACCGAAGGCCCCAGTGGCGACGTTGCATGGTGAGCGTCGCTTCCGAGGAAGAGAATAAAATAAGGGGGGGGGCTTCCGGCAGGGGAGGTCCAAAGGGGGGGGGGTAGCTAAGCCCCCCGCTTTTAAGATAGGGAGGGGCGGGGGAGGAGCTTCCGGAGCGCCAAAGGACGGCACTTTGGCACACCCCTCACACGTCTCGTGGCCCCATAGGGAGCTCCACCCAAGGCCTTAGTGGCTGCGTTCACATGCCGCCTCCTGTCCACTTTGGCACACCCCTCACGCGTTTCGGGGCCCCATAGGGAGCTCCACCGAAGGCCCCAATGCCTGCGCTCGCATGCCCCCCCCTCCCTAGTTTGGCACACCCCTCATACGTTTCGTGGCCCCATGGGGAGCTCTACCCAAGGCCGTAGTGGCATGGTTCGTATGCGCTTCCCTCACCCAGCACAACGTCTCGTGGTCCCATAGGGGGCTCCACGTTTCGGGGCTCCATGTGGGGGTCCACCGAGGGTCCTATTGGCGGTGTCCGCATGCGTTTCCCCCACCCAATACATCGTTTTTGTAGCACCACAGAGAGCTCCACCGAAGGCCCTAGTGGCGGTGTCCGCATGCGCTTCCCAGACCCGGTGCAGCGTTTCGTGGCCCCACAAGGAGCTCCACCGAAGGGCCCAGCGGCTGCGTCCGCATGCGTTTCCCGCACCCAGTGCAACATTTCGTGGCCCCATAAGGAGCTCCACCGAAAGCCCCAGTGGCGGTGTTGGCATGCGTTTCCCCTACCCAGCACGGCGCTTCGTGGGCCGTAGGGGGGGGGCTCCACCGAAGGCTCCTCTGGCGGCGTTCGCATGCGTCTACTCCACCAGGTAGAACGGTTCGTGGGCTCATAAATAGCTCCACCGAAGGCCTCAGCGGCGGTGTTCGCATGCATCTCCCCCGCCCAGTACGACCCTTCGTGGCCCCATAGGGAGCTCCACCGAAGGCCTCACTGGCGGTGTTCGCATTCCAGTCTCCCACTCAGTACAGCGCTTCGTGGTGCCATATGGAGCGCCACCGAAGGCCCCAGTTGCGACAGTGCATGGTGAGCGTCGCTTCCGAGGAAAAGAAGAAAATGAGGGAGGAGGCTTGCGGCAGGGGAGGTCCAAAGGGGGGGGGAGCTAAGTCCCCCCCCTTGGGAAAGGGAGGGGCGGGTGGGGGAGCTTCCGGGGCGCCAAACGAGGGCATTTTGGCACACCCCTCACACGTCTCGTGGCCCCATAGGGAGCTCCATAAAAAGGCCGTAGTGGCTGCGTTCACGTGCCGTCTCCTGTCCACTTTGGCCCACTCCTCACACGTTTCGTGGCCCCAAGGGAGCTTCACCGAAGGTCCCAATGCCTGCGTTCACATGCCGCCTCCTGTCCAATTTGGCACACCCCTCAAACGCTTCGTGGCCCCAAAGGGAGCTCCACCGCAGGCCTTAGTGGCTGCGCTCGCATGCCCCCTTGGCACACCCCTCATACGTTTCGTGGCCCCATTGGGAGCTCTACCGAACGCTGTAGTGGCATTGCTCGCATGCGCTTCCCTCACCCAGCACAGCGTTTCGGGGCTCCATGGGGGGTCCACCGAAAGCCCCAGTGGTGGTGCCCGCATGCGTTTCCCCTACCCAGTACAGCTCCACCGAAGGCCCTAGTGGCGGGGTCCGCATGCGCTTCCCAGACCCAGTGCAGCGTTTCGTGGCCCCACAAGGAGCTCCACCGAAGGGCCCAGTGGCTGTGCTCGCATGCCCCCCCCCTCCACTTTGGCACATCCCTTACACGTTTCTTGGCGCCACAGGGAGCTCCACCGAAGGCCCCAGTGGCATGGTTCGCATGCGTTTCCCTCACCCAGCACAACGTCTCGCGGTCCCATAGGGGGCTCCACGGAAGGCTCCACTGGCGGCGTTCGCATGCGTCCACTCCACCCGGTAGAACGTTTCGCGGGCTCTTAAGGAGCTCCACCGAAGGCCTCAGCGGCGGTGTTCGCATGCATCTCCCCCGCCCAGTACGACGCTTCGTGGCCCCATAGGGAGCTCCACCGAAGGCCCCACTGGCGGTGTTCGCGTGCCTGTCTCCCACTCAGTACAGCGCTTCGTGGTCTCACAGGGAGCTCCACCGAAGGCCCCAGTGGCGGTGCCCGCATGCGTTTCCCGTACCCAGTACAGCGTTTTGCAGCACCACAGAGAGCTCCACCGAAGGCCCTAGTGGCGGGGTCCGCATGCGCTTCCCACAAGGAGCTCCACCGAAGGGCCCAGCGGCTGCGTCCGCATGCGCTTCCGGCACCCAGTACAGCGTTTCGTGGCCCCATAGGGAGCTCCACCGAATGCCCCAGAGGCGGTGTTGGCATGCGTTTCCCCCGCCCAGTACAACGTTTCGTGGCCCCACAGGGGGCTCCACCGAAGGCCCCAGTGGCTGTGCTCGCATGCCCCCCCCCCCCCACTTTGGCACATCCCTTACACGTTTCTTGGCCCCACAGGGAGCTCCACCGAAGGCCCCAGTGGCATGGTTCGCATGCGTTTCCCTCACCCAGCACAACGTCTCGTGGTCCCATAGGGGGCTCCACGGAAGGCTCCATTGGCGGCGTTCGCATGCGTCCATTCCACCCGGTAGAACGTTTCGCGGGCTCTTAAGGAGCTCCACCGAAGGCCTCACCTGCGGTGTTCGCATCAATCTCCCTCGCCCGGTACGACGCTTCGTGGCCCCATAGGGAGCTCCACCGAAGGCCCCACTGGCGGTGTTCGCGTGCCTGTCTCCCACTCAGTACAGCGCTTCGTGGTCTCACAGGGAGCTCCACCGAAGGCCCCAGTGGCGACGTTGCATGGTGAACGTCGTTTCCGAGGAAGAGAAACTACCCAGGGACGTACCCAACCCTTTGTACACATGAGGCGACTATACATCGGACCGCTCAATACAAAACGCGAAGCGAGCACTGAAGGATCCGCCGTGCCCTTAAACGATTCGTCAAAGAACGTCGGGCCAGAGTCACATGTTCACATCTGCGGCGTCGCTTTTAAGAGCCAGATCGTTAGCAGAACGGCGGCCACGCGGGAGTATGGAAACACAATAAGGAGAGACGCCTGGAGACATACTTCGCGGGAGCAGCGCCGCTGGACTTCCCAACGTCGCAACCCAACCCCCCAGAGGACGGCGAGGTCTCAGGGTGATCTGCGTAAGACGCACCTCCGCTGGGCCTCCCAGTCGCCTACGAAAGTGGCGACAGTTTCGCAGACCGCGGGCACGAGGCAGGAGGCAGAAGGCAGGCGGGAGGAGAGAGGAAGAGGAGGGAGACGGAGGGAGGCGGGAGGAGGGGGAGGAGAGGAGAAGGTGGAGACCACAGTGCTCTATTCGATTCAAAACGAGAACCCAACCAAGGGGGGGTTGGGAAAAATGAGGGGGGGTGGGGGCTTCCAGCAAGGGGGTCCAAACGGTGGGGGGGTAGCCGAGCCTTCCCCCCTCCTTGGGAAAGGGAGGGGGGGTAGCCTGCGGAACGCCAAAGGAGGGGGGGGGAGCTCCCGAGGGGTGGAAAAAAAGGGGGGGGGGCTTCTGGCAGGGGAGGTCCAAGGGGGTGGTGGTGGTAGCTAAGCCCCCCCCCTCCCCCTTCCTTTGGGAAAGGGAGGGGGGGGTAGCTTCCGGAGCGCGAAAGGGAATGGGGGGGGTAGCTTCCAAGGGGGGAGACAAAAGGAGGGGGGGGGGCTTCCAGTCAAGCAGGGGAGGTCCAGGGGGGGGGGGGGTAGCTAAGAAGGTCCCCCCCCTCTTTGGGGGGGCGCCACGGCCGGGCTGCATGACGTTGGGCTGCTGTCGGGAGTTCGTAGCGGGGGCGGATCCCAAGGCGGGGTTCTGGAAGGGCTCCAGCCGTCTGCCGACATCTTCTTTTTTTCCCAGGGGCTGTTCAGGCTCGCGCTCCCCGCCTCCCACCGCTGAGCTTAGGTGCCCCTCCTGTGCGCCCTACCCCCGACGCTGCCCCCGTTGTCGCTCGCCGCCCGCGGCGGGGGGGGGGTGGCAAGGGGGGGGGGGGGCGGCGCCGGCACGCGCACGGGCACGCACGAGCGCCGCCCCGGGGGGCGGCCCGGCAG